CAAGTGTCCAGCGACCGCTCTGGTCTCCGAAGGTTGGCCCTGGGGATCTGACGATCTCATAGGCCTGTAGAATGAGAGCACATAGCCACAAGGATATCGTGGAATGGCTAATCGTCTGTCTGCACGGTTATCCCAGGTGTGCGTCTGTAGAGGCGCACTTTGGAGAGGCGAAGGATAGGCGCAATCAGACATGCTAGGATAGACACTGTTATGGACGATGTAGACAGTGCTTTTGTAAAGGCGTCTGTATAGGCGTCCGACGAGGCACTGGCGTGAGTATAGGCATCCGACGAGGAACTGGCGTCTGTATAGGCCTCCTACGAGGCGCTGGCGTCTGTATAGGCGTCCTACGAGGCACTGGCGTCTGTATCAGCGCTGTTTAATAGACAGGCACTATCTGTGTAGGCGCTATCTGAATAGGCGCTAGTAGAGGCGTCTGCAGAGGCGCTGTGGACGGCGCTTGTAGAGGCGTCTGTATAGGTGCTGAGGCAATAGGCGTTGACGTCTGTTGCATGGCCCGCAAGTACCGGATGTACTGGAGGAGAGGGGCGTCAATAGCAAGCGTCTGGGCCATAGGCGGGGCGCCTCTTGGGCGCCATGCGTCTGTCCGGTGGACTGGAAAGGTGCCGTTAAGAGAGCTCTGGGTAGAGACTTAGACCATGGGGCCCGACATCATGGTAGTAATGAAGGTCTGGGTGTTGTCGTCCGAGATAGTCGATCTGGTAGTGGGCGAATACTAGGATAAGTCAGACATCTTGCCCCGGTGTTTTCCTGACCTGTTGCATTCTCCGTTTCCTGGACATACAGGGGTACCGTCTGAAAGCTGTGGGGGAAAGCAGAAACAGTCTGTACATCTATGACACATACATTTAGATGTACAATTAAGGCACAGGGGCACTTTTACGCCGGCACTTTGAGCATGAGAGCATGATATCTGCAATGAAGCAGTGTAAAATCACAATGCATCCCCTCCCGATTATGTATGCTATAATTTGTTTATTCCACTACGTGGGTTTATAAAACAATTATTACAACAAACGTAAGACAACATACAAAACGAAGACAAAATACTTGCGAGGGTACGTCAATGGTGGGGTACAAAGCAAGAAGAATATAGAACGCAAGCCAGTGAAATAAATGGCCACATAAAATATTCAAGATGGCTACTTGAAACAACAAGACACCTGGGTTTACCTTTCGTTTTCTTTCTTAAGTTGGGACAAGTTGGGTTTAAAAAAATATCGAGCCCTGGGTATGTACTTTTTCAATGTCAGCATTAATTTTGTTTCCCATATTTCCAAACCATATGGTAATATAGGTGCAATTTAACAATAAAAAATGTTGCATGCTGTTGAAAATGATATATACTAGCATGTATATAAGCACTATGACGACAACCATGACTTCAAAGCTGCTGTGAATGGATATTTCAGGGTGGCTTCAGAAAACATCTTCCTGACTGGAATTGAAAAGCTTCACTATCGATATGAGAAGTGTATTGAAAAGCAGAGGGATAAAGTTGAAAATATAATTAAAAACACTTTCACAATTGTTGGTTTTGTTTGAAAGGCTTAGAACATTTTGACCAGCCTTTGTATGTTTGATTGTTGCTGACATAGCAGATGTGGATATAGTTGGAGCTGGAGCCACACTGCCGTGAGGATGTCGTACAAGGGCATCGAGATCAAGGGATCTTGTCGAGTTCAACCAAGTTTGCAGAGGGTAGAGATGAAGTTGTCCTATGTATGTAAGAACTTGGAGAGATGTCAGTAACCTTGAACACGACATCTACCAAGGACGAGATCGCAAGGGCTGACTGATGGCTTCTGCGATCATCATCTGTAGATTCATGTAACACTCCTCCAAGGGTCCGACAATAGCCTGGCTTAACTGGAATCTGGTCCCAATGTACACTATGTCCTGTAACAGCAGAAAATCCAACTCGGTTGGATGAACAAGAGCCCTAGGTAGGATATTAGCTGAATTCCATTTCCATAGATCAAATTCCATTTTGAGTCCGTGATGGGCAAAGCTGATTGGAGTTGTTATCCGAGGGGATAACCAAGGCGCTAATAATATGCTGAGAAATTTGTATCTCCTTCTGTTAACTGTGAAATGGAGGTACTAACCTCAATTGAGAAGGACAGGGACATGGAAATACACACCTGTAAGTCTGAGCTAACTGACCAGTCCACCTGAGGTTTTTGATAGATAAATCTGAAACCTGGGTGGATGTATAATAAAGTCTTTGTTGAAGAGCTTTAGGTTGATGAAATATCTTATGTGCTCATTTTCGGCACTGAGAATACCGTAAAATAGAAACCTCCGCTGGGATAGTTGGCTAGTGCACAAATATGTGGCAACAGGACTGGGGGAGGTTATGCATACACGTGAAGACTCTCTCCCCTTCCATGATCGCCAGTGCATCATGATCCACTGCTCGAGGGTCTGGCATGGGAGACACTGGCAGTTACCGGGGGGTAATGACAGAACAGGTCTATGTTTGGATATGTGCACTCTGTCAGTGCCTACATGCCTGTACTGGTACACTGTCAAGTAAGCAGTAGAACAGAGATGTCAACTCTTGGAGAAGTCGGGAGTGTGTGGACCCTATCTTCTTCATGTAATGCACTACTGTGGAGTTGTCAGTGGCATTCATGACCCTGCCATGTCACAGAAGATGTTGCCAAATTTGAATAGCCTGAATGACGGTTCATGTGCCATCTCTTGACTTCGTCTGACCACATGTCCACCATTGTCAGATCAGCAAAAGGGCATCCACAAACTCAAAGTCTGTTAAAGAGACTATGTTCAAGACACTGGACTCGAAGATCCACCACTAGAGATAGGGACATAGTGGCTAATTAAATGGTACCAAAAATTTGGTTGATCCTGGTCTGTCCTGAAAAACATCGAGACCCCATCTTGTGCCTATCACTGATGAACAGACGAGCAGCAGACAGAGCCTGAGATACCAGTGGCTGAATTCGCAGCCAAATGTCTAAAGGAACCAAAAGATTATTGATCTATGCTGTGTGAAACTGTCTCCCGATGAACTGAAGGGACTACAAGGAAGTGAGAGCTTTGTTGATGATCCACCCTAGCTGCTCCAAAAGAAAATGTAAGAAACTGTAAGATCACCGACTGGAGTTGAGAAAGAATGCAGAGATCCACGTAAGAATCGAAACTGATCCCAAATGGAACACTTCCAAGCATAAAATCATTGAAAACAACTTTTTGCAGAATTTGGGACTCACTTCCACCTGGTACCTAGTTTTGGATTTAAGAATAACAAAACAATATTAACATACAATCTTAATATTCTTATCAAGGTGTTCAAATATGGTTGTTCTTCAAGATGGCTGGGTATCAAATGACTAATTGTTTCTAAAGTAACAATTAAAACATATCTATATCTTTCTTGAAAATTGTCCACTACATGTTGTACAGGGTTCAAAGTGAGATTTCAAATGGACGACTGACAATACCCATGATGTCAAGGCGAGAAAATCATGTTAATAGAACAACAAGCATGAAATACTCACATCCCCCGCCAATACAACATGTCCGGTTGTGTGCAATGCATTAGCTCCTGTGAACTATGTTCACTGGGCCTTTTTGTAAATGGCCTAATTGCAGCACTAAAAAAAGTTGTAACTGGTGTTATTTTGCCATCTGCAGTTTATGATAGAATATGTAACTGAATTTGTAATTAGTAAGGATGAGACATGGACGAACAACTTCTTTATTACAATTAGGAGCGATGGTTTCGGTGTAGGTTCTAACACCCTTATCTAGCAAGTGAAGTACACAGTATGGTTGACAAGAATATCTAGTGTTTATACAGTTGAGTAGGTTTAAGATCAGTTACATTGTTGTATTTGTCATGAGCTGTGTTTCTGCATGAAGTTAGTCAGTGAATGCAACAACTGTGTCCATGACACTTTTGGAAGAACATACACTCAAGCAATGCAGAACTTACCAACAAGAAAGGAAAGTATTCAATACTGTGAGATGACATTATGTGTCAAGTTTGGTGAAGAAATATGGCACGGTTTTCAAGATCTGCTCCGGAAACGAGGACTACCACTATTTTCAGTCTAAATCAAAGTCGTTGCCATGGAAACTCGAAAAGTAATTTTTTTAAAATCCCAAACTATCAAAAGGCAACAGTCTACTACTAGATCTATCTATGTGCAAAGTTCGGTGAAGAAATATGGTACGTGTTTCAAGATCTGCTCCGGAAACGTGGACTACCGCCATTTTCAGTCTAAATCAAAGCCGTTGCCAGGCAAACTCAAAACATTTTTTTTTTAAAATCCCAAACTATCAAAAGGCACCAGTTCACCACTAGACCTAACTAAGTGCCAAGTTTGGTGAAGAAATATGGTACGGTTTTCAAGATCTGCTCCGGAAACGAAATGTGACGGACGGATGGAAGGACGGCTGGCCGGAAGGACAGCACCCATTCCTATATCCACCTTCCACTTTGTGGCGGGGGATAATAAAATTAGCCTTTTAAAATGTCCTGAGCAACGCTAAAGCCATTCATTTCCAGAACACATTAATGAATGCTATTCTTCTCACTTATTTCTACTTTGATAACTTACCGTATTCGACGTAATAAGCGCCCCCCTCTAATAAGCGCCCATGGCTATATTTGCTAATGTATTGGCTAGTGAACAATCCCGATTAGCACCCCTTCCGATTGATCAATGTAGACATATTTATTCTTGTATAATACGTATGTTATATGCACCCTTAATTATGGGAAATTAAATTCTGGAAAAATATATCTGTCGTATATATACATTTCAGGCTGTCAGCATAAACCACGAAATGTAAGATCTTTCAACTCTGTTGTTTTTCACCAAAATAATATTCTAATAAGAGCCCCCCATTTCTAAATTTGAGAGCGCCCTTGGCGCTTATTATGTCGAATACGGTATAATATGTTTGCATTATCATTCATACTAAATGCTAAATGCAAGTGTACTTACGACATTTTGCTCTCACAGACAATCTATAAGCACCGTAACAAAACTCTCTCGCCAAGTATGTCTCTGCTTCATCAAATCTGCAAATAGAACACAATATGGGGTGTAGCATGTTCCCAAGCCAGATAACAGTCAAAAATTGTGCCACACCACTTTAGCATGTGTTTAGCTCACCTTCATATGTACATGATGTGTTCAAGAGCGAAAACATTTTCTACAAAGTCTTCAAATTTTGTGTTTGTAATATTGAGGATGAGAGTATTGACAAATATGAAACAAGTATCAAATTTCAACAATGTCAAAACAATGAAATTGACATGTCATATTGCATATCATTGTTGCAATACACAACAGCCAAATTTATGTAACACAAGTTTCAACATGAGGCAATTTATGTTTCTTATTCAATTTCCAATTGTATCACAAACTTTCAATGCCCTTCAAAATACTTTACACCATAATAGTAACATACATTCACATTAGGGCTGGGACGAGTCCATATTTACCGACCCCTTATTACCCAACCCTACCCAAGTACCCGTGGTAAATCTTAAGAGTTGGGTACAAAATGTCCGATTGGGAATAGTTTGACCGTAGCCCTGTCAAAATGTATTTAGATACACTTATTAAACAATCTGGTCATGCATACACTGAAGTTAATTAAAGTTTTATCTTTATTCAAACCTATAGAGTTCAGAAGAATTGGTGCATAGTCAGAAAGAAATGCGAACATTAGCATTAGTGATTAGTGACTTGGAGTGTAACCGTAGAGTTCTAGATAATTCTTGTTGATAAACAATATATCATAAGACTAACCACGGGTCCGGGCAGTCCGCGAATACCCGAGTGACCTGCCCCAGCCCTAATTCACATGTGTTTATTAAGATGGTCATCGCCCCATTGTTATTGTCAAGAATTAATACCATTTATTCATTGATATTTTATGGCAATGATCACTCAATAGCCAGCGATCAGATTCTTTATAATTCACATGTAGTTTAACATCACAGTCAGCAATATCCCACCTATATCGAAGCAGCAGTCAGGACCAGGACAAACAGTGCAATGTCAATGTAGAGGGGTGCAAACAAGCAAACCTGGGTTACTGGGGACCTATTCTTACCATGAATCCCCACAGGTTTTATTTACCACATGACCAGTAGGAGGGATAATTCAAATATACTCATAGTCAAACAGCACTGTAGCTCACCATGCTCACCAGGATATTTAGTCTACGGTTTAAATTTCAACAAAACTCTTGTTAAACAGCTTAAAAGTTGTTGTCAGTGTTGACATTCAACTAGTAAGTAATCACTAAACTAAAATGTGGTGTCATCAAAAGGAGAAACCTTCATGACAAAGTTGACACCCTCAGTCTGACATTTTCAGAGAAGTTTACACAGTCAAGTACTTCTGAGATAATTTATGAGCATTGTCAAAAGAAGTTCAAAACTTAAAATATTGTGAAGAACTGGACATATGTGTTGAGTAGGGCTGAAACGGCAGAGAAAATGATATTGCCGGGGGTGATTTGAAAATACAACCTCGAAATACGCTATGTCCTGCATTTTAAAGAGAAAAACAGAGCTCATGATAAATTCGTAAAATATAATTTTTATCTCTACAAATTTGATACAATACATATGTATGATTTTTTCTGATACTAAATTTCAATTATTTTTGTTAAAGAAAGAAACCAATCTGATGTAAATTAACATCTCATAGTTGTATATGGAAAACATAAATTGAAAGTATAAAAAAAGTGGTTTAAATAAAGACGATTTTTTAAAGGTTATGTGTTGATTACAACATGAAATTCCAAACAATAATCTTGATTCTTTATTCTTTTCTTATTCTGGTGTCTCATGTACAAACATTAGATTGACTGTAACAGGTAAAAAGGATTTCATTTAGTATACTTGGTATATGGCTTTTACATTTCCTTAAGTTACAAATGAACTTATAATACAGCAGTATTATACTAGGTTGGGCTTGTTTACTTTACAAAGGCATGAACATTTAACAGTAAGGTAAATTACAACACAAACCTGGAAATTGCACTAAGTACATAATAGTCCAATAAAATGTACAGAAACAATGCCTTAACTGCACTAAATAAACAGGAAGCTTAATATTTCATACACCTTTCATAACTTTAGGCCATGAGAATATTTATGAACAAAGTTGAAGTCTAGGGCGTATTTCCATGAGCCAAATCTAAATCAGCCACAAACCCTCAATTATGAAGAACTAAGTTACTATGTATGGTAGAAATTAAGAAGATGCATTCAAAACAAATTCCTATTTATTAATTTTCAAATGAGTGAATAAATGTGGCTTACCATTACTTTAGACCTCATTGGCTCTTAGCATGACTTCCTCATGCATGTTGCTTAAAACACATGGTGATATGACCACACCAATCGGTGCTTATCTCCATTCTTATTAAGGTTGAAACAAAAATGAAACATAACATTCAAAACCAGGAAATTAAATAACCATCCTAACCATAACAGTTATGTAATATTGTATACTACTGTTGTTATATGCAATACATAACTTGTGGAAATTGTAGAAACAAGATTTCATACCTCCTTAACCAATTAAGCTACCATAATTGATAGAAAATAGAAATAAACATTTTGACCATTACATTATGCATTAACACTTGCCTTTTTATAAATAATTGTTTATGTTATTCAGATAACTATTATATATGTTATATGTAGGCTTTTAGATCTCGATACACCATGTATTTATACTATTACAAGGGCGTATTACAATCAATTGTTAAAACATAACGAGTGAAAAGTCAAAAAATGAATTCTTTATTTAAACAGAAACAATGTTAACGACAGCATTAAACTGCAATGCCAAACAAAGCATACATAAATGGATACAGAAATCCATAGGATTGAAAAAACAATGTCCTTGTCAATATGATAATTAACATCAATGACTCTATTCCCTTTGCTCTAATTTGAGGTTAGGCAGTGCTGGGCCATCAGTGGCTGGAACCGAGGTAGTAGCATCCACGGCGCGTGGAAGATCAACACATGCACCCTGCATGTCAGATACCTTGGGTTTGCTTGAAAGTGAATGCCTGAGGTTCTTATTGAGAAATATTATGGCATCAGCCGTTTTGGGTTTAAGAGCTGATTGTTTCTCCGAGATAGTTTGTCCAGCTGCAGAAAAGGCTGTCTCTGAACTCATGCTTGTACCTGGTATTGCAAGGTATTTTCTTGCAAGTTCTTACATCTTCGGGTATCGACTTCCATAATCCTTCCAGAACCCCAGTGCGGAATTTGACTTGGTTGTATCCGACAGGTACATTTCAAGCTGATCCTCATCTTGCTCATCATCTGACACTTCTATCAGATCTCCCATGAGGTATGAAAAGACATTTCCCTCGGATTTGACAGACTTCTTACATGGCTCATCATCCTCCTGAGGCTCAGACTCGATAGGTAATCCTTGATCTCCTTGATTCCGTGCATTGTCACAGATGATGTTCTGAAGATCATCACATACACGGCTTTATCATACAATGGGTAGGTTTCTCGGCAGGATAAAGCTAACGGAAAAAAACGACATCCGTTTTGGTCTTACGCGGATAGAGATGCAAATATCAAAGGTCAAGTAGGGACTACTTTAAGTGTTTATAAACAAACATGGCGTCGCCCTTGTCATTCGGCAATTGAGTCAGAATTAACCATCCGGAATCTGGATAAACTACAGGGATAACTGCTATCACTATCAAAAGAACAGTCTAATATACTTAAAATTAGTGTCTAACTGTGACGTAGCTAAGGCATTTTACAAATTTTGGCAACTTTGGAGATAAATTTCGAAACAATTTTGCGAGGGCACTAGGCCTAGCCAAGCGTGATCAGTAGCCATATCTGTGCTTGTAGACCTCTGCGGCTTGAAACCTTTTCCACAAATTAAAATAGTTGGATTTGGCCGAAATATGTTTGAATTGTTACCTTGTTTCGTTTTGTCGCTGTGTGTACATCTGATTGCACTTCTTAACGTTAGGACAGGACAGGCCGACTGTCAACAACGTCTGAGCGTGGCCGTGACGTCTCATAGACTAGGGTTAGAGTAGCTTCCCTTTGACAAAGGGCAGTTACTCTTGCGGACAGACCGATGGATTGCCGCGAAATGCAAGTGAAAACAATTGTTGTTTTGCGTATATGTTGCTTCGCCACTGTATAAGAAACAGATTTCAGTTTGAACTATATTGGCTACTGTCACTGTCAGACTGACACATCACTTACCCTGTGACGTAATAAATATTAATGCGCACATTCCAGGAAAACTCGCAATGTTTAGGTAATATTTTTGAGAGAGGGAAAGCGATTTTCAAGCACAGAATCAAAGAATGACATTATATGATAAAGAGGTTATCACGCTTGTGTGTTTGGGGATGGTAAATATCCTGTATTAGGAATAAACACTATGTATTTAGCTTGCCAAGTCTCGCTAAATACAATGTTTATTCCTAATGCAGGATATTTACCATCCCCAAACACACTCGTGTGATAACCTCTATGTATACTTGTGATGTCTGCTCATCACTAAGAAACATTAGTTTCTTGAATATGTGTTCAAATACTGCAGCAATCATTGGAACCAGTACTCCCCATTCATGATGCGCTGACGGAGACCATTGCTGATCTTCTCCTTTACAGTGCACATAACATTGCTGTAGAGTTCTTGTGACTGAAAGTGGTTCTGTATTAAACCCAATCTCATTAAAATCAGATCTGAGTTCTCGCTGCCGCTAAACAAAGATCTGAGGACATCCCATTACGGTCACGTCAGAACGACCTGTCTCGAACTTTGACTGACCACTGAAATGACAAACATCAGCCAATTGGAAAGCAGTTTTCTAGAGCTTTACGGTACTCGTTTCAACCTGGCAACTTCCATTTCAGAATACGCTTGAAAAATATGTTGGCACAGTTTTGAATGTCTAATATATGGTTGAAATTGTATGACAGTACTTCACATGTACTGTGCAACGCCTCCTCTGTTCAAATGTTTGTTCTACGGAAGTGAGAGATAGCCGATAATT